CCTCCGGTGGACAAAGCCAAGCGTCGAGTGACCAGAAGGCTGCACAACCTGCCAACAACCTGTGCCCCCCTTGCTTTCAATTGCGGTGAAGTTCAGGTGACCATCGGGAAGGCGAAAGCCTCCAAAGCCATGGGTCCCGACGGAATATGCATGCTGATGCTGAAAAATTTGGGTCCTGCGGGGGTAGCGTACCTAACGGAGGTCCTCAATTTGTCTATGGCCACTCTCATCATCCCAGACATCTGGAAGGTGGGGAGAGTGGTCCCACTGCTCAAACCTGGGAAACCCGCCAACATAGGAGATTCTTATCGGCCGATAATACTCCTTTCCCCGGTAGCGAAGACACTCGAGGCCTTGTTGCTCCCGTATTTCACAAACCACTTGACCCCAGCGAAGTATCAGCATGGTTTCCGTAAAGTGCACAGTACAACAACAGCACTTAACGCCATAAACACTCAGATAACTCGTGGCCTTAACCGTAAACGTCCCTGTGAGAGAACAATTCTAGTAGCGTTGGACCTGTCAAAGGCTTTTTACACTGTCAGCCATTCCACGCTACTAGAAGATATTGAGGCTTCCTATCTCCCACAGAGGCTCAAACGGTGGTCGGCAAATTATCTGAGTGGTCGACATTCGTCGGTAATGCTTAGAGACAGATCGAGCAAACTTAGAAAAATAAAACAGGGGGTTCCACAGTATGGTGTCCTTTCCCCGCTACTGTTTAACTTTTACATTTTAAAGCTCTCTCAACTACCATTGTCTCGATTCGCCGACGATTGCTCGATTTGCGTCTGGGAATGGAATTGATGACCTGTGTTCGAAAGTGAACGGGTATCTCTCTGAACTTTCTCGCTCCTTCACTGCAAAGTGTCTAGCCCTCCCCCCTACTAAATCCTCTGCGACCCTTTTCACAACCTGGACGAAGGAGGTAAGGCTACCGCTAGGAATTCACGTCGATGACACACCAATTCCGACGGTGAATAATCCTAAAATACTCGGAGTAACATTCGACAGCCTGCTCTCCTTCTCTGCGCACGCAACCGCTATTGTCAATAAAGTACAGAGCCGCAACAAGGTCCTCAAGTCGCTAGCCGGCAGTACTTGGGGCAAAGACAAATAAACCTTGCTGGCAACATACAAGGCAATAGGCCGGCCGGTTTTAAACTACCAGTGTGGTCGCCGGGACTAGTAGGACGCAGTGGATGAAGCTACAGACGGTACAAAACCCAGCACTTAGGACAGCGACCGGATGCCTCCTGATGTCACCAGAACACCACCTCCACGATGAGGCGAAAATGCTCCCAATTAGGGAGCACAACACGATGCTCTGCAAGCAGTTTCTGGTTGGGAGCCACAGATGTGGCCACCCAAATAGACAGCTGCTTGCAGAGGAGCCCTCGCCGAGGCACGTCAGGAGGTCAGGAGGCATCTATATGAACTGACGGACGAAGTCCAGAGGTTCATTAAGCAGCCTCTGGACCCGTCAGCTTACAGACAGGCCCTGAACGGCATTCACAGGGTCGCAGTCTCGAGTTATGTAGACTCAAGACCTGTGAATGCCGTTCTAGGCACACAAACACCGGACATTGACGCGACGGAGCTCCATCTGCCTCGGGACCCCAGAACAACAATAGCCCAACTTCGCTCAGGATACTGCGGCAGGCTAAACTCCTACCTGAGTGGGCTAAATGCGGATGTGCCGAACGGTGTCCGGCATGCGGAGAGACCCCTCACGACTCGAAACATCTCTTCGCATGCCCGGAAAACCCCACAACCCTAACGGCGTCGTCCCTGTGGACCGATCCCGTAGATGCGGGGTTGTTGTAGCCGCTACAGCAACAACAACAACAACAGGGGACCTGTCAGGTTATCGACAAGCTCTGAGCGGCGTTCACAGGGTTATGTAGACTCCAGACCTGTGAATGCCGTTCTAGGCGCACAACCACTGGACATCGACGTGACGGTTCTACATTTGCCTCGGGAGACTAGAACCACAACAACCCAACTTCGCTTTGGCTACTGCAGCAGATTAGACGCAGATGTGCCAAATGAGTGTCCGGCATGCGGAGAGACACCCCATGACTCGAAACATCTCTTCGTATGCCCGGAAAACCCGAAAACACTAACGCCTTTATCCCTGTGGACCGATCCGATTGAGGCTGCATGCTTCTTAGGGCTTCCGTTAGTGGAGCTTAACGACGACTGAAATATTAACCGATCTGGGCGGGGTTGTTGTAGCCGCTACAACAACAACAACAACAACAACAAGGGCATTAATAATGTGTAGGCGTTTAGCAGGCAAGCCTTGGTGTGCAGCCTAAAGATCCTGATACGACAATAGACCAGAAATTACATATGACCACCCCCGGGTTTCGAGAACTTTAATCACGGTGAGAAAGTGAAAAAACTTCAACGTCTAGCCTTTGTACGTATTTCGGGAACGATGCGCACATGTCCGACGGTTTTGGAAGAGGACAAGTCTTATCATCCACGAGCATGAAGAGGATAGAATCCCAGCTCCCACTAGCCCTTCCCGAAAGGTTATATGAACCATGCCATTGTTTTCGAGAGGACATTCAAAATAGCGCTCTGCAGCAAAGTAACCTGGAGTAACTCCATTATGGAGGGATTTGTACATGCCATCGCTATACCGTGGTTACACATTCATTGTCAAGTTTAAATTGGAGATAAATCGGTTTCGGTTTTGTGCCGTAGCCAGTGTCCTGAACAGCATAATAAACTATTGTACTTACAATTAGCTCTTTGTTTTTTATCGAGGCCTACGCTATCGCCGCCTGCAACGCTTGTCTCATTGCCGCTTCTTCGATTTTCCTTATTCTCTGTGGAATTGTGCTGTAAATAGAAATAACAAACCCGTTGTGAAATCTTCATTATTACCAACATTTCTTATTACCTCTTCGGTTTTTGTATTACTAAGCTCAGTTTGCACACTCAGCTCGCCCTGTTCACCAATAGATATCGAAAAGCTTAAAGGAAACCAGGAGTTCTGGCGGCCATTCGGTGAGGTATTAGTTTGAGTTCTTGTAGTGCTGGAAGTTGGAGATTTCCTATTTTAAATTTGTAGTGAGAATAATAGGAATAGCCGAAAACTAAAGCACACTTACCTATCGGGATGCACAAAATGACAATCGCTGCGAGAGCAATTTATGCCATAACGACAGGGCTTATTTGTATTCAATGCTGGACTCTCTGATGGTGTGTGTAAATTACGATTCAATTGTCTTCGCAGGAATCCCAAATCTTTTTCATTGCTCAAACCGCAATTGATTGCCAGTATTTGTGGAAGACAAGTGACCTTAAATAAGAGGAAGTTCTCTTTTACTTGTACTTTATATGATAAATATAATTAACTAACCTTAACACTTTGCTTGGTAGGTGAGAATTTCTTGCAATGTTCGCAAAAGGCTTGTATGTGCTTTTCCGTGCTTAGAGAGCCTTTAAGAATGGAACCAAAATTGAATTGTTCAATTTCTTTGACATGCAATGGATAACTAAGATTACAGGCCAATAGTATGTTTTGTTTAGTTTTCTACAAAAATAAAAATAAAAGCGATTCAGTTATACCAAACACGGTTAAATTATCTAAAATGTCACTCAATATGTTTTGTAATAACTACCTCGTTGTTGCATTTCAAACAGCGGTTTATGCAATCTTGCTTGGTACCGAATAGACGACTGATTTCCGATTCTTCATTAATTTTACTTCGTTCGCGATCATCGTCTGTGAAATATTTGTATATTACTCACGAAATTAGTTTAATTAAGACAGGGTATCAACTTACCGCTTTTCATATCGATGGTTTGAAATATTTCGCCCGATTTACTGCTTAGGTCCACAGCAGGTTTTTCGATGCTAGTCGAGTTTTCTTCTAGATGATTTTTATTTGCCAAGATAAGATATATTTTTATTTAAATTATATAACATATATAAAAATAGTATACACAAATATTGAGATTCATTTTGTAGGCTTCAACGCTTACTGGCCCCATAGTTTTGAGAAGAAAACAAAAATTTTATAAGTAGATGCAAATGTGATGCATAATCAGTTTTTCAAACGAAATTCGAATTCTTTGATCCGTCAGAATCCATATAGTGATTCCCTATATAAAAATTCTTGACCGAAAACATTAAGTGGTACGTGATAAGTTTAGTGAAGAAGTTACAGGCACATACAAATTATGTAGGAATTAAAATATAGTGTTTGAAAACAAAGTAATAAGACTTTTTGCATTCTTGTTTCTTGATGCGAAGATATGTTTTTCTTAACTAATCCTTTATACTTCCATAAAAATATGAACAAGTATGCATCGCAAAGCTATAAAAATAAAAAGTTGTGTTGTAAATAAATTATAAATACCGGAACTGCTTGTGCTTGTTGCGCTATTCAAGCGACTTTTTTTATCTGAGTCTACCATTTCATAATGCATCTGATGTAGAATAAAACGATTCCAATTCTGCAGAAACAGGCCAAGTATTATTCTAAGTAATTTAAAAAAAAAATTTTAAATTAGCTTACCTGTATAAGATTTATTAAATTAACATTGGACGAACGATCGGACAGTATAAGACCCAGTGCCGATGCTTCAGGCACCGTACGAAATGAACGCAGAAAATTGCTGGCTTGACATGGTGTTGCAGCTGTGTTTAAAAGGAATAAAATTTATTTAAAATAAATTTTTATTGCGACAAAATCAAATGTACATATCGTTGCGCACCTGAGCTTTTATCCAACATATTGAAGAGGAAACCGAGTTCACAGGACAAACAAAACTCCTTTTTGCAAGAATGTTCAATCAGTTTTAGACGCAGGGGCTCAATAAAATATAATATCTGAACAAAAATTTAAGGAATGCAAGAATTTTTTTAAACACTATCATTAACATTCAATTTTTTGCTTTCAACACCACATTAGAGGAACTAATTTTGAACTCTTACAAAAAGAAAAGTGAGGCCAAATATTTTTACCTGCAACATGGAATTGCAATAGGAGTTGGGTAATGTTGCTTCCAGTCCGGCGAAACACGTCTGATTGTGTAGCTCAAAGTCAAAGTCTTGGGTACCCAATTTCGAATACTTCAATTCCACTTTACGATAACGCCTTGGTATGATTTTTACGCCACTTTCCGCCGTTTTAACCGTGCTCGGCAAGCCATTACTGTTAGTGGTCATGTTATTCGGCGTTTCAAGTACATATGGTATTTGATTGCGACGTGCTGTACGCGGGTTCGGCGAATAGCCAATGGGCCCTTGCATCTTCATATTGTTAATAACATCTGCTTCAATGTGTTTTGGTCGCCGATATTGATAGCGTAGCAGCTCGGGTGGCCAATCAGAAAACCATCGGTTACCAGTCACCAAGTGTGGTAAGGCAACCGATGATAGCGGAAATGAGGTGTCTGTAATAGGCACAAAAGGCAACTGCGGCACTGGATCAGCAAATTCCGTATTTCGCGAGAAGGCATTAAATTGGGGCTGTGGTGTATTGACGGCGGCGATTACGCTAATATGACCTGATTGAGCACCAAAAGCCATTGCCTGTGATGAGGAACACACATCGAAACTCAGACACTGACTGCCGGTCGTATTGATTTGGTACATAGATACTCGTGGTTCGCTCAATTCAACAGTGTCGACTAATTGTACTTGTCCGTAGCTAGAAACTACAGCTAACCGTGAAGTCTGCGATGGTAGAAACTTTAAAAGCTGTGGATCGATTAGCACTTGTATGGGTGATATCGAACGCAGCATGCGTAGATCATAAACCATGAGGAAACGATCGACGGCCAGTGTGCCTTGTCGGCCGCTATATCCACATGAGATGAGATAGTTTCCCTGTACATCGAAATCGGATAAACTACCAGTGTGAGTCTTGATAGTGTGCTCTACATGTAGCGAATTCAAATCGCGCAATGTCACCATGCCAAACGGGTCCCCGGCGAATAGGAAGCGTGAATTTTTGCGAAGCACTGTACAGCCTGTTGATCCAATATTTTCCTGCAGATCACAAAATATATATAAATTGCAGCTACTATACAATATACATACATGTTTAAGCGTACTTACCACTTTCGTTTCTTTCAGTGTACGGAGATCAAACTCGATCATTTCATCTTGCAGACCTGCCATGACCAAACGATTTGGTGTCAGCTGTTGCATACACACCATTTCAGTCATGCTCTTCGAGCGATGTGTAAACTTCGGTATGCCACGACGTATCTGATGTCTCAATGACGTTTGCGTCAGCACCAAAATGCCAGCGTCAATGGTTATGATCTGACGAACGATATCGCTGGCATGCACTTGGAAAGAAGTGTACTTTTGTAATGTGCTGCTGTAATACGAAGTGACGTGGCCCTACCAGAGACACAATAACCAGTTAATACAACTTTAATCAAAGTTATTCTCGGTAATATTTTTTCGCTTACTCCCTGATTACCCATCCAGAGCAACTCCTCATAATCATCAAATGCGAGTGCCGATACACCAAAGTTTTCGCCGCCATCTGCCAGAATGGGCACCAGTTCCATGTAGCCTGGGTCCCCGGAGCTAATATTGAAGCCGTTGAAATTTGGCGAAAAGTGGCCAGTGCTGCGTTGGCCGCCGCCATCGTAGACATCTGTACGAAAGCAAAAGTTAAAAAAGGAATTAACAAACTATAATTAAATAAAAAACAAAGTGTGATTTTCTTCAACTTAAATCTAATGGCACCTTTTTCCACTTACTTAAAATGTCCTCTGGCGGTTCGGTGCCACAATAAACATAATCCATAAATTTCTGAACCCAACCACAAACACTGTTTAATACTAGCTATATGCCAACTGCTAACTTTACACGTTTTTTGTGAGGAAATCGTGGTATTTATTGTTAAAACTTCCTAAATTTAAAATGAATTCGTAAAAATACAAAATTTCTCAACAAATTTTCTCCGATTTCTCTGATGACTTTTTATCATTTCTGTTTTCGGCTCCCTTCTGAAGAAGAAGAAAAAGTCCCTAACCGATTCGCAATATAGCATAAATGTCCCAGCCAGTGTGCTAACGCTACCGCACATGTAGTAGACCTACAGCAATATTTTTTAAATTTGAGTTTCTAGCAGTGATGGAAGAGTATGCACCATAGTGCCATTTTTGGCACATTCATTCACAGAGGCCTTTTGGCACAATTCGTCTTGTTTCCCTGCAAAAATCGCGACTACTCCATGCATGCGTGTAAAGAGTACTCCCTAAGGACCAAAGAGTACTCCAAAATTAACCACAATTCATATAAAAAAATATGGTCCAATTAACATTGCGATGTCCTAGGGCAGGACCATATACTCCATCCCTGCATTACATCAGAGTAGCACAAAACTACTCCAACATATTAACAATGGCATTGTTGTTATATTTTTTCGTTTGTACACGCTTTTGTTCTTCACTTCTCAAATGCTTTTTCGAAATTAATAAAAACCAAGACAAAAATTAAAAATTACATGTTGCCTCTGACGGTATTCGAACCCGAACATGCTGGGAGCTAAGAACTAACAGCGAGCATCTCTACACGTTCAGCTACAGCCAGACATGCAAATGTGCTTTCAAATGCTCAACTTCAATCACGTTTCGTTAAAACACGAGCAGTGATCGGATAACAAACAATAAGCTGGCGCACAGAAACGAGTTGGTCCGCTACAGCATGACAGAGGAACACTTTTGTAAGTACTCCAATTTACCACAAATAGACTACATGGTCCAACGATTTTTGCAGGGTTTGGCTATATCATAAAATACAGAAACTTGAAATAAAAGGCCACTATATAACAAACAATCACATACCACTTTATAGATTAAGAACCTACAAAAGGTGAAAATTGAAATCACTAAAAAATTAAATTAAGGGCCGTGAGAAATATTTACAAACCGCTTATTTCTATTGTGAATACGCACTACGAAAAGCAAGTTTTTAATTCATAATTTTTAGAAAGATTTTAAGTTTCCAGTTTTATAGTCCATTAAATAAAAGTGAAAGTTTCTGCAATATGCCGATAATTTTTGATTTTTTTTCTGAAGGTGTCATATATTTTCATCCATTAAAAAAATTTCTGAACACTTTTATATGGGAAAAAATGCTTGAAATTGAAAACTTGCAAACTTTTAAAAATTCTGAATAAAAAGTTTTTTTGTTGGGAAACCCGCTTTTGTTCTAGATGCAGTTATATATTTTGAAACAGGGTCTTTCGATTGATGTTATCGGTTTTTATATATCTCCTCTAGTTTCCGAGATATTGACTACAACTTTTTCGATAATATAGTAAAAATTTAGTTGGCGATGCAGTTATATTAAACTAATCAATATCTTAAAAATGGTGTTCTCAATTTTTGGATATCTTCTTTAGTTTCCGAGATATTGTGTAAAAAGTGTCGTTAATTGGGCGAAATTTTGATCATATTTTGTCGTGTTTCATACAAAGTGGCTGCCAAATTGTGGACAAATGACGCTTACGACAAAATTTTACTAAAGAAAACCCTTCATAAACTCAAAACTAATTAACAATAAACATTAAAAATAAAATAATTTAAGAATTTTGTGAACTAGTAACATTTTCAGAGACTTTGGAGAAAATCTATCTTCGCGTCTTTGAGAAATTGCATTCCAAACTTCAATCGCGATTTCCCACAACCTGCCGAATTTAACATACCACAATCTTTTTCCCAGGCGACGATATATGTGTGTAAAAATGTTATAATACCTATATGTCGGTGTATTTCCCCTCCGTAATTAAAATTCTGGGTAATTTTACTATGAATTTATGTATGTATCTAAGGAATCCTCCATAAAAGTGTTTTACTGTAAAAATTTAGCTAATTTATAATCAGTATATTACTTCAGTGTATTTAAAAATATTAATTCTAAAGGTATATTGTTCTTAAAAAGCCTTAGACAAATTTAATTTTGCGGCACTTTCATTTTGTTTTCGGCACTATTTTTGAAGACCATTTGGCTCATTTTAAAATTTTGAAATTCCATCCCTGGTCTCTAACACATCTACCACAAGGCCAAAGAATATAAAGCTGAAATTAGTCAAGAACGTAAACCTACCGGTACGTACACCCGAGTCAGCTGACACGATCTGTTCTACCAGAGCGCCATGTAAATGAAACTCAACACCGCAGAATTTTTCTGTAGTTGAAGCCCGTAGCGCAGAAATCTGCGGAATTTAGATTTTTCCGTGTCAGCTGATTTCTTCCTTCTATAGATGGTTGACACTTCGTCAGTTTCGCAGATGGTAAAAAAGGTTTAATTTCCTATTCAAAATACGTTTAACATATTTGAAATTTACTATTGAATAAAGCTTTTTGTTGAAAACTAAGAAGTTTATATTTAGCTACGACCAAAGAACGTAAATGTATAAGAAGCGACAACTCGTTAAAGTCGGCGA